ATGAATGAATGAATGAATGAATGAATGAATGAATATTCAGAAAGAATAACTGCAATCTGTCTGCCTTCTATAGAGGAGCTATATACTGTGAGGGTCAAAAGGAGGGCGGAGAAGATATCTGCAGATCCTTCTCATCCTGGACATAAATTGTTTCAGCTTCTCCCCTCAGGACAGCGCTATAGAGCACTGTATGTTAAAACATCTAGACACCAGAACAGTTTTTTTCCTCATGCCATTGCTCTACTGAACACCTAATTAATGCAGTATGATATACTGGTTGACACTGCATGAAGTTATGACTGCTAAGACGTGACTGATAATGCTCTGTAAATGTGAATGTATGTTAGTTAATAGCCGCAGTACTATCTTTCCTCTAATTCTCCTCTTCTGACTGCATAGTTTTAGCATAATGTTATTAGTATTATTATTATTTTATTTTACTTTACTTTATTATTCTTATACTTGATGCTATGCAAACACACCGAGAGCTCTTTGCACCGAAGTCAAATTCCTTGTATGTTTACATACTTGGCCAATAAAGTATCCTATCCTATCCTATCCTATCCTATCCTATCCTATCCTATCCTATCCTAAATTAATACCATAATGAGAACAGGTATCTATAAAATCTTTGATTAGATCTGTGCTTTGAAGGTACAATTCTCCACAACTGTATGATTTTAGAACTCAAGAACTGATTGTTCAAATGAACATGATTGGCAATTAACTCATTAGATATGGATAAAAATAAAAATCTATTGTTTTTTCTGGGCATAATGACTAAGAGAAGTCCCCTATAGAATTACACACTATTTGACACATATCAATTGATGCCAACACATAAAACTCATAATCAAGTGTATTGCCAAGTGTCAGGCAATGGCCAAGGGCCAGACAATTGGATTTTTGAAGATCCAGAGACAACAAACACACCAGTAAGTAAGGAGATTTTAAGCTTTATTGTTAACTCTAGCAGAAAGATTTAAACAGAAACACAAAGCATAACATACCAAGCAAGATGACAACAAATCTCTGTTCAGCTGTTGGTAGCCCCAGTGGAACAACGTGGAGAGACCCCGAAACGGCTAAGCCACACAATACTGAATGCTAGGCCTGTATCGAAGCTTCCAGCTCAAAGGATAATACCAAGGTCTTATCAAATCTGGCACTACAATCTCATTACCTTGTTTCCATGGTACTGAGATTGCAGGACCAGACCATGGCTAGATGGTGCACCTGTTCATCACGTAAACTGCCAGAACCCTGGAATGTAAGAGCCTGGATACAGATAAACCAGTGCCAATTTAAATAATCTTGAGGTCCTCCTACATCTATGTGAAGATTCCTACCTTCTCTTTATTTACCAAGCAAGAATGAAAAATAAACAAGTTAAACATCATTATGACTCAGAATAAACTCTAAATTTCTAAAATCTTAATATGAAGGACAAATCAAAATATGTCACTACGTTCCTCAAAATACAATGGTCTTCCGCAATGCCGCTACATCAAGGTGACAATTAACAGCCCATTAGCTCTTCTTAAGAGCAGAAGTACACACCATAAAAACCTTACATACCTTAACATACAAGTTACACAATTCTGCATTCCTGGCTTTTCTATTGTTTTAATGGTAGATTGTTCATTTATTAATCTTAGTTATGTTTTTCAACTGAGTCCTTGAGTTATTTGGTTTTGTAGAATGTCTTTATTAGCTACTTTGAACTCCCTATGGAAAGACACAGAAATCTTATAAATAATAAATAAATAAGCTCTAATGTTTCAGCTATGGTTTAAAAATAGCAATAATGGGTTATTCAGAAACATATAAGAATGTCCAAAGCCTTACTGATTGGCTACTACATGGCTCATTATCATAAAACATGCATAGGGAACTAATCTGGTGTAGTGGTTAAGGCATTGGAGCAGGAAAACAAAAACCCTGGTTCCCATCCAGCTTCATCCATAAAAGTTCACTGAATGACTCTGGGCTTGTCCTGAGTCCAACCTATCTCATAGGGCTCTTTATGTGGGGAAATACTGAAAATGGGAATGCTATAATAGTGCAAATGAAACCAATGATTAGTTGTAGAAAATCTACCTGAAAATAAGAACTAAAATATGAAGGTGAAAATACCATTCCATTATAAAATAAATTTGGAAACAAAAATAAAACAAAGCATCTTAAAATGTTCCCCCGCAAAATGCTGAAGTATTTTATAAATACTTTACAATGGATATGGCTACAAAAAGAATTGTAAACTGGTCAACAGATGGATATTGTGGATTTGTCAATAAGTCAGTAAAATTTGTAAAAGAATTTCTATCTAGGTTACAATTGCATATTTTCAGAATTACAGTAACAACTGAAATATTGAAAACAAAGGAACAAGTTCTATTTCTAGATTTTCAGGAATTATCCAGTGGTATCTTTCTAATGACAAGTAGCATCTGTCAGCAGAATGGATTCTTCTCTTTCCACTGATGTGGATATTTGAAGGAATATTACAGCAGATCTGAGAAGGAAGAGGAGAAAAGCAGAAGGGGAAGTCTTTTTGTACAAGAAAGTAGTGTTTAGATACTGGTTTCTAAGACTACATCAAAATTTTAAAAAGCTACTTCAGTATGTACACATACCAAACTCAGTTCCAAAGATTTATTTGTATATCCCTCACAATATATGGTAACAAAAATAATGTTACCATATTATATTTACGTCAATACATTAATTATCAAATTTCAGTTTATGGCCATGTATTATTTTAGCACATAATGATATTAATAAAGATCAATAAATCATTATATAAAACAGGCTTATTTTTCCAGAGAGAAACATTTTCAGCGCTGTATGGTGTACAATGATAAAACAGACAGAAGAAAGCTGACACTATTTGCTGTTCTTTTTCCTGCAATTACTAGCTCTTTTACCCTTTCTCCTCATAAAGAGATAGTGATATAAATACATTTCAGACAGCGTTAAAAATGGGGAAGAAACATTCCAAGGCATTTTTACAGGTACTAGAAATATTAGGCACCTCACCTCTTCTACAATTTACTACACAACTTTTTGTTGACAAAGTATCCACTGGAGAAAGTCGACCTGCATAGTAACTATACACTGAGTGAATCCCAGCTGCATAAAATATTCTTCCAAAAGTTAAACACACTGAAAATGTCATGCTTTAAATTCATCAATTGAAATGAACTATTATAGTAGATGTTACATTGTTGCACTGAGGTTAATTTACTTTTTTTTTTAATTCTTTAAAGCATACTCAATTTTCCAAATTCAAAGTAAACAATTATATTTCCTGTAACTCAACAAAACTACATTTACACCCAAAAAAACACTATATACATAATTAATGTTTTCTATGACTTTTTCCAATATTGCATGTTGATTAATTTTTCAAATTAACTTTTCAAATATCAACAGAAAATTGTTTGCACTCTGACAGTGCAGTGAAAATTTCAATGTAAATTGGCTTTCTGTGCATACCTGACGAATATATAGCAATACAGAGGATTTAAAGAAATCAGATTTTTAAAAACTCATATACTGTACTAAGCTTTTCTTAAAGAACATTATTTCAAATTTAATTAATAAATTTAAATTTATTCACCCAATTTAAATTAGTTTACATTTATTAAACAAATAATGCATTTAATTTTTAAAAAAATGTATGAAAACATATTAGCCCTACATTTATATTCCTAAACAGGATCAATACAAGGGCTCCACCCACTAAAATGATTTGGAACAAGTACTTTGGGGAGGTTTTGAGGAACATCTTTAATGCAACTCTTAAGGAAGCCACATAATTTTTCATGCTAATGTGAGGTCCAAAAATTCTTCTCAATCACTTTTGAAGCACACACAGCCTTAAAAACATATATCATATATCTTAACTAATTAACTATATTGATATAGATTCAACCTCTTACTGGAACTGCTTCTCAGGTCTTTGTCTGCATGTATATCCTAACTTTTATCTATACACATGTGTGAAGAGAACACTATTAAGATTTTTGCAGGGCAACATAAGTATCTTATATTAAGATAAAACAATCAAGTTTAGCTCAAATATGTACAGGCCTTATCACAAATCTTTAGAAGAAAAGTGATTGTATTACTATACCCTCAAACACTGGACTTTTGGACTATTTCTAAAGTCAATGACAGAAGACAATGAGAATATAGCATTATGGGTCACCAAATAAGGAACAAAAAATATGCTAGGGAAACCCAATGTTTCTGCTCAGTCCCCCAGATACAGGTTGTCCTCATTCAGCGACCACTCGTTCAGTGACCATTCAAAGTTACAACGACACTCAATGAAGAGACCAATCCTTGTATCTGCGGCCATTGCAGCACCCCATGGTCACATAATCGCAACTGGGTGTGTGGCACCCAGCTCACAATTACAACAGTTCACTTCCAGAGAGAGCATGGTGAACTGAAGACATCCTTGGAAAATGGGGACATTATAGCTGAAATTTGTGGCCGGATGCAGATTCTGGGTGGGCAAAATCTCTCTGGAGAAAGGAGAGATCTTGAGATTGCCCACATGCACTCCTGACTGCTACTTCTCATGAGTAAACTGCAGGAACCAACATTTTCATGGTTGGCTAGTGAGTGGAGCAGCTGGGAGTCAAGGGATTCCATCTAAGCTCATAGTCATAATGTAGCTTTTTTGGACTCAAAGTTCAGCCAATCCTCATTTCTTGAATCACTTTGGATTTTTTTTATTGAGCTTTTTAAATATTGAGAACCTCCAGAACAGCAAGTTTTATGGTATTGACTGGGTGAGTTTTCTTCAATCCTTTATGAAAGAAGTTTTAAGTATGAGTTCTTGATCTATAAAAATTTGGGGGTTTTTTTTGGAATTAACAGCAAAAAGGTGATTGGAGTGTTGTTTTTAGAAAGTTATACACAGACTGAGGATCCAGAAGAATTTAGTATAAATGGATTTAAATTAAACTAGCCATGTTCTTGCATTTGGAAAAAAAAAAATTGATAAGATGGGACTTTGAAGTTTGGACACTAGAAGACACCAGAAGCAAATAAAACAATGGATGTACTGAGAGATATGTGTGAACAAAAGATTCAGAAGTTACTTTTAAGGATTTCTGCCATAACTGATTGACTAGATGTTGCTACAGAAGAACAAGTTTTACTGGACAAGAATGAAAACAATTCAAATCTGGACTTAGAAATGACAGTCTACAAGAAGTATATGGAACAAAATGAAACAATGAAACAAACAAAATTGGTGAATGTTTTAATAACTAAAAAGGATATACAAATAATACACCTAAAGAGTGACTTGGATAGCCTTTTTATACTGGATTTACAAGAGTCTTGTTAATGTTGTCAGCGACCTTGTGAGAAGAGACAAAGAGAAAATGAATCATGTGTTGCGATATTATCTGAAGGGACTTAAGACCAAGGTTATTGGGAGTAAGGGGAAGGAATATAAAGTGGGTTTACTTAATCAAGGTTAAAATAGATACAGTGGGGCAAAAAAGTATTTAGTCAGCCACCAATTGTGCAAGTTCTCCCACTTAAAAAGATGAAACTACTTCTTTAAGAGGCTCCTCTGTCCTCCACTCGTTACCTGTAGTAATGGCACCTGTTTGACCTTGTTATCAGTATAAAAGACACCTGTCCAACTACTTCTTTAAGAGGCTCCTCTGTCCTCCACTCGTTACCTGTAGTAATGGCACCTGTTTGACCTTGTTATCAGTATAAAAGACACCTGTCCAACTACTTCTTTAAGAGGCTCCTCTGTCCTCCACTCGTTACCTGTAGTAATGGCACCTGTTTGACCTTGTTATCAGTATAAAAGACACCTGTCCAACTACTTCTTTAAGAGGCTCCTCTGTCCTCCACTCGTTACCTGTAGTAATGGCACCTGTTTGACCTTGTTATCAGTATAAAAGACACCTGTCCAACTACTTCTTTAAGAGGCTCCTCTGTCCTCCACTCGTTACCTGTAGTAATGGCACCTGTTTGACCTTGTTATCAGTATAAAAGACACCTGTCCAACTACTTCTTTAAGAGGCTCCTCTGTCCTCCACTCGTTACCTGTAGTAATGGCACCTGTTTGACCTTGTTATCAGTATAAAAGACACCTGTCCAACTACTTCTTTAAGAGGCTCCTCTGTCCTCCACTCGTTACCTGTAGTAATGGCACCTGTTTGACCTTGTTATCAGTATAAAAGACACCTGTCCAACTACTTCTTTAAGAGGCTCCTCTGTCCTCCACTCGTTACCTGTAGTAATGGCACCTGTTTGACCTTGTTATCAGTATAAAAGACACCTGTCCGAAAATTACAGGCCTCTCTCATCTTTTTAAGTGGGAGAACTTGCACAATTGGTGGCTGACTAAATACTTTTTTGCCCCACTGTAGGTTGCTATTTCTGGCAATCTTTAATGAATTTTTTCTGACTACGGCTGGAAGATAAAGTGTTAGTTTTGTTTTATAGACAAGGGTTCTATGTGGAAAAGGTTGTTACATTTTAAACTTATCTGATTAAGGTTAAAATAGCTATATTGTTATCCCTGGTAACTTTTATTGGATATTTATTGATTGTATTTGAATTATGAGGTTTGAGGGGTTTAAAAATAGAAAATGAGATATAAATATAAAAGGAAGGAATTCAAGTGGGTTTATTAGATTAAGTGTATAATAGATACGTGGTTATTTCTGACAACCCTAATGAACTTTTGCTGATTGGGATGGATGATGAGGCTTTGAAGATTTGTTTATAGAGAATGAGGTGAGATTTGGGGTGAAGAGATTGTTTGTTGTACCTTAAGAGATGATAAGTTGCTAAAATTCTTTATACTTGCTGGGATGGAAGGGGAAGTTACTGTTTGTTTGGTTTTTTTGGCTTTTCTCCTTTATATATATTTTTCTCTTTTATGCACTTTTTCCTTTTCTTCTTTTTTACATTTTATAGTTTGTATCAGTTTTATCTGTATAAAGTAATTTTTAATAAATTACAAAACAAAAAAACATAATTACAACAGTTGCAGCACCCTATGGTCACGTTATCACCATTTGTGATCTTCACTGCCGGCTTCCTACAAGCAAAGTGAACAAGGAAGCTGGCAGGAGGTTACAAATGGCAGTCAGATGACATCACGCCTAATTACCATGCGGGATTCACC